ACAATACATTCCGTACAGATCTTCAGGAGAAACTCAGAAATACGCAGGGGCGACAAACAGACTTTCTTCACGCAGCATGGCTCGCGTAACAAAACTCTTTATAACTTTTAGGTATTGAAACAGTTTAATTTTTTCTTGAATATGATGTTTTGTATGCTTTAAAGAGAAAAATTTTCATAATTTATTTTTTAGCTCATCATATCATAACAATGTTTGATTTCCGAAAATGTAGATTATTTTGTCCTTTTCTTTCAAATTTTTTGTTTTCATCTTATTATATTATAAAAATGTTTGATGACAGACAATGATGATAATTATGTCATTTTCGTTCGATTTTTTTGTGCATAACAATTTTAGATGAGTTTTTATTGAAACTACATAAATAAAACCAATTTTGAAATGAACCTTTTAGACCTATATTCTGTTTTTAATTTAAATATGCCTGGACAAAATTTTAGAAACTGCGGTAAAAAAATTCTGCAATATATTAAACAATTGAATTTACATAAAAGTATAATTGTTAATACTACGTATACTTTTAGGAAAGAATAAAATCTTATTACTTACAATTATTGTTCCAAAATGGTGGTATTTGGATGGTCTGAACATGTACAGTAAACAAAGATTATGCCAAGCAATTTATTTGAGGGGAGGGGGTGAACATTTGTCGTCATTTTTTTCAAACCCATATGAAAAAAAACATTCTTATTTCTTTGGACACTTTTCTTTCCCCTATAGGGCTTTCTTTCCCCTATAAGACCTCCACCCTTTCCCAGATAAGTGAAATTGTTATAGAGATCTCAATATTTTTTCAAAATAGAGGTTTTTAGGGGGGGGGGGGCAAAAAATTCATGGATAGAATCTAAAAGAACGGACACCCTCCCCTGTTTGATTCTTTTATCTTTCTTTATACGTTCGGTTTATTTAATTTCTAAAAAATTCTATGAGATGTTGTCGATATATTAAATAAGCTTAATCAGATTCTACATTTATCCTAGAAACGGAAAAAGACCAGTTTTACAAGTTGGTAGAGATTTTAAAAGTTCTGTACTCAGGGGCGTACGAGGGGGGGGGGGCCGCGCCCCCCTCTACGCGTGCCCCCCCTGAGAGGCTGAGAGGGGGCACCCATGAGGGAGGCTCTTTTGATATTACATCTGCTTGCATTTCCCTTCCTCAGGCCAGGCACAGTGGCGTACCTAGGGGGCAGTAGTCCTGTTGCCCCCCTGGGAGTTCCAGGCGGGGCCCTGCCCCCCCTGGAAAATACAAAATTAAAAGGAAACTACGTTTAAAAAGTAACACCTGACAATGACAAAGACTAAGGATTTGTCTGAATTCACTGTTAATACAAGGAGAGAAAAGTTTTAGCCTTCTAAAGAGAATACTTCATTACACAAGATGTACTATGACGGATAGCAGACTTAACGATCTTGCACTTAAAGCTTTATACCCTAAAAGGCTGTCTTCAGCTCTCTACTGAAAAAATCATTGAAATGTTTGTGCAAGCAAATCCCAGAAAATTGTAGCTTAAAAGAGTTGGTGAATATGTATAACAGTATATTGAGTAAATTCTATCCAAAAAATTTTGAAGAAATTTCGTTTATTGGTAAAAATATAATTTTTAATGATGCTGTGATTATTGATTTATGGTATTTTCATGGTGAACAAAACAAGTCCAGGTGGGAGGGGGGGGGGGCAAAAAAATAAAAAAGGTATCAATATTTTTTCAAAAAAGGGGTTTTTAAGGGGGGGCATACAAAAAAAATTTTTTGGCGCGCTTACGCGCGCAAATTGTGCCCCCCCTAAACAAAAGCCCTCGTACGCCCCTGTCTGTACTCTATTTGTTTTGGCAATATAATTTTAACCCTCAATATAATGAGCCTCTTGCAAGATATTTTTAAACTATGACAAGCTTTTGATCTGGTAGTCTTGTACAGGGTGTCCCACATCATATTAGATCGTGTATTTTTTTCTAGTATTATGTGCGTATTTTGGCGTTAAAGCTTGTAGATAATCTAATATGATATGGGACGCTCTGTATGTCATCATATGTCTAATCTCTATGTAACCTGCGACTTGAACTGAGTGTGGATAGGATGGTTTTGCATTTTCTCGCATTAATCTAATGCTCAATATTTGGTTTATGATCTTCACAACTGTGTGCATGGTATAAAAACCGGGAAACCTTTAAATTAGTATTTCGAGTATATGTAAACTAACCCTAATTACACTGTATCTCCTGTATCCGATTCTTTCTATAAATGACAGAAAATAGAGGGAACCCCCGGACGCCATGAGCCTCTGCTATGCAGACATCTCACATCGAGCCTCCCAGATTCGCTAGGCAGACCGAGCCTCCACTAGTAGACAAAGCTTACGCTATGCAGACCGTGCCTCCGCTATGCAGTAAACGAGCCTCCACCATACAGCACAGCTTTTTTAAATCTTGGTTTTTATAAGTGATGAAAACTATTGACAATTTTTAGAATTTTACTAAAGATTAGAGTTGTCATTGATTGCCATGATTAGAAACATATTTGGACTCATAAACTGGTTTCTTACGCAGAAAGGAATTGATATTTGGAGAAATATTTCTAGAGTAAACTTGGTTTGCTTTGTTGTAATCTTTGATTTAAACAATACCTTTTTTGAAAAATTTTAAGACTTAAATAATAAATAAAAATTTTTTAGATTTAATTTGAACTACAAAAAAGGTATCGCTAAAATCAAAGATTATAAAAGATGAAATGAAATTCAATTCAAACTTTTTTCTAAATATTTTCCTTTTCGCGTAAAAAATGTTTAAAGTTTTAGATACCACTTTATTAGTCATAATTAGGCACTATTTATGATAATTAATAAATACTTCTCATCTTTGAGAAGCCTCTCATGCCACTATGTCTAAAAATTTCAAAAAAATATTTTATTTTAACTTATAAAACAAGTTTAAAAAACCTCCTGTATTACACAGGCACATTTTGATGTGTTGCGCATGCTCATTTCTGCAAAGCGGAGGCTTCGTCTGCCTAGCAAGTCTGGGAGGCTCGTGTCTGCATTGCGAAGGCTCATGTCGTCCGTGGGTTCCCTCCCTCGACAGAACTATGTAAAGAGCTACCCACTAAGAATGAGACTGCAAAGACGACCGAAAACTCTTATAATTCCAAGTTTAAAATAAGTCATCTGACTAAAATTTAGTATTTTAATTAATTCATATAATTTGGCAAAGAAAAAGCGAAGTTTACATTTGGAAGGAATCGTCAAGGAATCATAAAATTCACTGTAGTAGTTGTGGGTAACCCTGTAATTGTATAGGATTTGTAAATCCTATAAGGATATTCCCATTTTTAAGTACATCATATGTTGATGTTAAGCATGTAAACAAATTACATAAAACTAAAAATATTGGAAACAAAACTTTGTCTTTTGGTTCTAGAAACACGGACGGATGTTTAACGTATAATGTTTATATATATATATATATTTAACATACTTTTACATATTTCACTATTTTCTGACATCAAAAAAAAAATCTAAAAAAGGCAATTAACCAACCATACAATAGCTTTATTTGATTAAAACATTAAAAATCATAACAAAAAAATAACAATCAAAATAACATCATTATAGCATAAATAAATACCAAATTTGTTCTTTTCAATTTACGAAAATTTCAGCATTATGCTAAAAATCAGCATTTAACTTCTGCTAGCCTCGTGATATATCACACAATTTTGATAGAAATGTAGAATATGCATCAGGAATCAGGATTGCACGTTTACAGATAAGCTCTCTCACAACTCTCACACGTGAGATGCGTTTCTAAGAACATTATTAGTGTTTGGTGAGAAAAATGAGAAAATATAATCTTTATAACACTATCAACAACATTAAAGACGTAAAGATTCCTAAAATCAAGCTAGATATGTCACACGTGTAATTTTGTGAATGATCAATTTACGAAAACAGTTTTTAAGTTAATTCTAGGCAGGGTCGGGAACAGACAGCTACTTCCCCCCCCCCTGCACTCCAAACAGACGTCTTTAAACACAAATCAGCAGTATACAGTAAGGGAAGCTACTCTACATCTATCAGTGAAGGAATCTACAAATTTTCAAGATGGATGTAACAAAAGCTGATTTGAGTAAACAAAAAGACGAAATAGTTACCAGCCTCAAGGCTGAACTCAAGATTACCATAAAAGAAGAAATAGTTACCAGCCTCAAGGCTGAACTCAAGATTACCATAAAAGAAGAAATAGTTACCAGCCTCAAGGCTGAACTCAAGATTACCATAAAAGAAGAAATAGTTACCAGTCTCAAGGCTGAACTCAAGATACCATAAAAGAAGAAATCCAAGATGCCATGAGAGAGTTTGAAAACCATCTCTTGGAAAAATATTCGCCAGTTGCAAAAATCCATCGAAGATCTTAATGCTACTGCTAAGAAAACAAGGATGACATTAAATCACTCATTGAAAGGATTGGGCATCGTTCCTGGGGAACAATCGTTCTTTCACGAAAACGAACGAAACGATCAAGAACTATCCCAGGAACGGCTTCTTATTATTTTATCGTCATTTTTTATTTTTTTGACAACCTCTTTACTACAAAACTTTTGTCTTGGACACCTCTAAAGTACCCCCCCCCCCCCCCCCCCCTCCTATCTTCTTGACCATGACAGGAACGGGGGATGGAAACTTCTTGACTAAGAAAGAACCGGTGGATGGAACGGGATGATTCTTAGACTAAGAACAGAAAGGGACTGAACGGGTACGAGAATGGAACGATTGAAAAAAAGGAATGAGAACGGAACGATCTAGCTGTAGGCCCTCGTTTGGAATGGAACGGAAAAAAATTCAAAAAAGCTGGAACGTGCCCAGCCCTGCTCATTGATCGATCTTTAGCTCTTGAACACAGAACACCCAGAAGGATGATAAAATCAAATTTAATGTAAACAATAAATATTTAACTTTCCTTTTCCTTTGATTTTCATTGTTAAGAATTGGGGGGAAATATTCCCACAGGCCACAACCTCTATTTTTGGAGATGTTGAAATATTTTCTCCAGAAACACTTAATTTTGAATGTTTTTGTTATATTTCATAAATAAATAATTACTTACTTATTTACTAATTTAAGTTTGTTCGATTAAATTATTCTTAGTAAGATGAAACTATTAATCAATTGTTGTCGATTTTTGATATTTTCCTGGTTTGAAACCTGAAACCTATCAATTATTCTCATTTTGATTGGTTAGCGACATACACAAGGGTTACCCATACAAAAAGAGGTCCTACCTGACCACCTGAAACTATTTCAAGTTAACGATTTGAAGCTTAAATAATGTGCAGAACCATCATGTAAATGTAAGAAAAAATATTTCATACTAACTCATCATTTTTGGGTACCCTGTAGATAATTAAGGGCTAAAATGATGATTAAAATTTTTTATTAATACCCTGATAAATCGGCGAAATAAAGGCTAACGGTTCGTGTGTTGTGTCAAGGTAAATCCTACATTGTATAATAAATGCAAAATTTTGGAATTTGAGTTCTAGACTATTAAATGTAACAAATTACATTTCCTGCCCAATGCTACAAGAAGGGCACATTCTGAATGTTAAACAATAAAATTTCAAATGCAAAATTTATATTTTTCGACACTGCTTCAGAGTCTTCGAGTTATCGACTAAGAAATCCCAAACTTCAAAGCTGAGAGCTGTTTTGCTTCCCTAATCCAGCAATCCTAAACAGATTAGGGTTGGGCTTAGAGTTTAAAATATTTTCTGTAATCGTAATTTCAAGTGACCATCCATGCAAAGATAGCATAAGTAATCAAGGACGTATAGTCAGGAATTTGTCCTGGGTGGGCTTAAATATTTTTTTTCGTTCCAGAGTGGGCTCAGCACCCACTGGGGCCTGAAATCTCCCTGAAATCCATAGATTTCACTGGTCAATGGTCATGGAGGGCTCAGACCCAAAGCCCCCCCCCCCCATGACTACGTCTCTGTTAGCAATCCCCAATTTACAATGGTACCCTTGAAACTTTAATCTGATCAAAAATGTGGAAGATAACGCTGTCTTTCTGAACAGAAAAGTGTTTAACTCCGTTGTTTCTTAAAAGCAAGAAATGTGCAAGTCACTATTGCAGAGAAATCACAAATTAAATTAAAAAGTTTAAATGAACAAAAATATGGATATCTAATTCATATTTGATCCGACAAAGCTTTTAAGTATACCGTTGCAATTCGGGCATTGCCATCTTTGCAATTGCATGGAGGGTCACTTGAAAGAACGCTTTCTGTCCCTGAAACAATTGGGATCAGTAAGGGTCCCTTGCAAGATATTTTCTGAAGCTTTTAAAACCTTTCAAAACTTTTAGAAATTAAGGGTGGAACATGCTACACATATTCCATCAATTTCCAAAAAAAAATTTTCAGCGTGTCACAAATAACTCTCATGCTCCTAGGGGGATTTATTTGAGAATCAAATATGAAAGGTTCCGAAAATAATTTCCAAAAGATTTTAATGGCTTCCGCTTATAGTTTTTAACAGCTCCAGGAAAAATTCTGCAAGGCCATTACAGAACCATGTTGATCTGGAAAAAAATGAAAACCTTAGTTGGAGATCAATTCATTCATTAGAAATCCTTCTGATTCAGCAGGAATAACAAAGTTTTAGGATAAACCTATCTTATTCAAATCGGATTAAGTATGAGTTAAATTAATTGTTTCTCTCAAACCGATTTAAACTATGTTATCTGTATCTGTATATATATATATATATTAACTTCATTGTTAAATTTTTCTGTGTCACTGCCTGCTTGCATGTATATTTATGTTTAAGCTAAATCTGTATCTGTATTTGTATCAGATTCTGTGCCTCTGTAATATATATCCTTATTTCTAACTGTATGTGTATCAACTATCAGTTTCTGTGCCTCTGTATATAATATATATCCTTATTTCTAACTGTATGTGTGTCAACTTATCAGTTTCTGTGCCTCTGTATATAATATATATCCTTATTTCTAACTGTATGTGTGTCAACTTATCAGTTTCTGTGTCCATGTGTTATGTGTAATGTGGAGGTATCTGTTTCTTATCTCGATATACCGATTATAAAAATAAAAATAACATTAAGAAAAGACAACAAAAATAAAAGAATGGAAAAAGGAAAATACCTGTAGACAATAAACCAGGAGAAAAGAGCACACAGACAACCACCAACTTTCTCACCTGAAAATAAAGGCCAAGCTGAAACAAGACTCTGAAGTAAAATATATTTAACAGGGGCATAACAGGAATTTACCAGGGGTAAGCCAACTCAGAATTTTGTCACCATTCTTTAAGTAATAATTTTAACTTCTAATTTTGTGAAAACGATTTTACTTCATGCATCATAAAACGAAGTAAAATGAACTTTTTTTACAGCGTTATCTAACAAGTCAGAATTTTAAGAAATATATGTTATGTCAGCTGTGTTGAGTTCAACTGAAGGTTAGCATACGTACACTTCACTCCAGTTTTCCGACAATTTGAACAATGTTTTAGAGATACGCAAAAGAGGTTCTCTGTCCTCCATGATGAACCAAAGGTTGTAAATCGTGAATTCCCCTCTTTGCATAGAGGATTACCTGTAAATACCTAATTCAGTTCCATGATACTTTGGAAATTAAAAAAAAATATAGAAATTGGTGTAAGCAAGTACTTTCAAAATTAGATATGTTCGAACTCCAATGTAGAAAAGATTCAAAATGTGCTATCGGCATAGACATAAAAATTGGGATTTTTTAAGGTCTCATTATAAAGTTATCAACATTTTAAACTCCTCTAACAGTACTTAGGGAAAATTTGTTCTTTATAATATCATTTTTTTTTGCAGAAAATACAGAACTTCTAATCTTAGAATTTCTATTTTACATAGCCAACTTTATCTCATTTAATATTTGTTAAAATTTAAGCACCGACAAATTCTTATTTAACGTTTTGAATGAAGTCACAACTGAATAAGATTAAAAAATCATTCAACGTTAAAAATATGTACTGTGTACTAGATAAATACGATATAAAAATTAAACAAAATGATCAATTTAAATAATGTGTTAAATACAAAATATACACAGTTAAGCATTAATCATAATCTGAATATGGTTAAATTTGAGGTAAAAAAATTCCAAATTATGATTGCTGGATAAGCCATTGTTAAAATTCTTGTAAAAAGAATTCTTGCAATTTGCTTTTTTTCTGAGCTTATAAAGGCGGGTCAAAGCAATTGTTTTCAAAATCATTTTAAACATTTGCATAGGCAAATAACGACACAAAAACGATCAAAAAACGAACGTGGTGTAAGGCAATATTCGTTTTTTTCTTTTTATTTGATGGAAATATTGCCAGATTTAATCATACCAAACTTCAGACAGTTTTAGAAACTCGGTAATTTTATATTTTATTTCTCTTTTAAACGAATAAAAACAATCAACAACAATTATTATATGCTTACTTTTATTTTCAGCTGAACTATTTTATTTATGAGAAAAGGAGATTGAAAAAGTTTCATTTTAGTATTAATTTTCAATTTTTCTTATTATAATTAAAGAACATGATGGAAAATTTTAAGAATATCACGATATATTCAATTAAACCACTTCTGGTATTTTGGAAATCATTTTATGTAAAATAGGCTGAATATATTCAACCTGAGTTATTCATTTTAAATTGAAGGAACTAAAATGAGTTTATTTTTTTTAAACTTAAAATCAGTCCAATCTTTGATCGTAGACCAATAATTCCTTCTACAGCAAGAAAAAAATTTTAGAATCTAGTTGAATCAGTTACGTTGATTCAGTATCTTAATTGAAATATATTAAAAGTCCTAAAAGAAGTGAATAATTATATTGAAAATAATTATTTTCAAACATTAGATTCTACTACCGTAAATTTGAATTCTTAAAATTTCTCAATAGAAAAGATGAAAACCACATTTTCTAAAAATAATAATGTTGAACTTGAAGCTAAAGCTTTAGATTAGAATATGTTTTCAAACATCCTAAAAATAATATATATTAATTGATATTAAAATTTAAAAGTTGTATTAGGTCTGGTATTAAAATTACCAATGTGGGGCGTAAACAGGATTTTTTGAAAGACTGGGGATGGATTCAAGGGAAGACACAATTTTTTGTGATTCTTAAGTCTTCACTTTCTTAGGAGGGAAAAAGGGGGTGGATAAGCTTCAGAAGTAAATGGTGGGACGTAAATCATTACGAAAGTGCAGGTGGTCCCCCCCCCCCCTGAGGCATAAAGGTAAAATGTCCAGCAAGGAGCGCAATCCGTGATTCTGTTAAACTCTACTCAGACAGAATTAAAAACTTAAATTTTCTGATCCTAACATCTTAATGTAAGTTGAGTGTGTAAACATGCGTAAACCTTTGATATTTTGAACATAAAATAGTTCAGTAGAATTCATAATTTCAAACACTTTAGATTTACAACATTAAGTTGGAAAAATAAAAGAATTCGAAAGTCATTCAGTGAAAATCAGAAAACTGTGGAATAGGTAGATGAGATTAAAGCATTAATTAAGTGTATTTGATGTTGTTACAAAGCAAATCGTTTTACTAGTAGCTTATTAATTCACTTTTAATGTGAAAATGGTCTGATTACACTCAACAATTTCTGTGTCCCATGCGTATAGGACTATTCAAAGTCATGATTTGAGCCGAAAAGTCGTCTTCCTATTCCAGACCTTTATGGTCTTCAGTAAATTAATTAAATTTTTTAAATTTAGTCTTCTCTTATAATTAGGTTAACGTTAGGAATTTTGTTAAATATTATTAAGTAACTGTATAATTTCTGAATTTTTCTTTTGTATTGTATATGCACAAAATATATCGAAAATTCATTGAAACTGATATTTAAGAATTTTATGTCTTAAAGGGAGTGTTTGCGAAAAAAATGTTTGGGTCAGGCTAGATCTAAAAAGAAGTCGGATTCGATTGCTGCTAATTTCATTGCTTTTATCCCCAAGAGCGTAGAGCCCATAAAAACTAACTTGGTTGCGTTCTTCCACTTAAACCGTAATTATAGTTTTATCAAATCTAAAACTGATCCTTTAAATTTTACACAATACATAAGCTGGATTTAATTCGGGTCATTCGAATCTATTAATATTTCATAACATATTCAATTGTAATATGCTTCCAGTCCAGTGTAAATTTTAAGATTTATTCATGAAATTTCGAGAATTTTAAATGACGAAGACGACATTTTCATATTTTCCAAGTATCGAAAATATTCTTAGAAATAACACTCGGATCACATTAAATAAAAAATATTATGAAATATTAACTAAATTGTAATTAGAAGCGATCGAATCCTTGTGGTGAAAATTAACTATCTATTACCTGGCGAATGAAAGTAGAACGCTGTGGCTAGGATCATAATTTCCCAAACCAGGTTTAATGCACTAAATCAGTTTCATATTTTCTTAATATTTCATAAAATGTTGACAAGAGAAATAAAGCAAATATATTTGTTCCTGGGATTTGTAGCAAAATTAAATCTGATACCTAAGTACTAACAACTGTATTTCTAGCAAGGAAAACCAGCTAACAGGGCCCTCTGAGAGGTTTCAAGTTTCATGTGAATTTTCTATTGCAAGGGCATTTTCTTATTATGCACATCAAGAAAACGCAGAAAGGTTCTTGTCTAATTTCAAACTTGAATGTTTAAAAAGTTTAATCGTTTAAATTAATATATTTGGGCAAGGGAACGAATTTTCTAAATATTGGAATTGTAGAAATTGTAGAAAATCAGATGTTGCTTTGTTAATTATCACAGATTCTATTAAAGCCCTTTTAAACGGTCCCATCAATATTTCCAGCAATATTTGGTCACATTGTTTTAGAAAATAACTGATATCGTCCATCCAAAACTCCCCCTCCACCTTCCCATCTTGACATAATGATGGGTGGGGGGTAAATTAAGTTTTACACCCGCATTTTTCAACTTAATCTAACAAGCAATAAAACTTTCCTGAGATTAAGTCCGACCGCACTCCTTCTTTGTTCTTTAACCTAAAACTTGGTTTAAAAAAAAAACTCTGTTGAGATGAGAGGGGGGGGGGGCAGGGTTGATTATTCTTATTGTGAACAGTTGTTTTTTAATGAATTCTTACACAAAAAAAAGATTCCCATAAACAATATTAAATTGTATAAATCTTTTGACTTGTCCCTAAAAAAGTGAAAGTTTCCATCCAATTAAAAAAAAAATTTGTTTATTTTTTCAGTTTATTCAAAGGTATTTACAGTGAACACTTTGTTTGAAATGATTTAGTACGTTTTTTTTTGATTAACTGAAAACTTCCATTTCGAAATTTTATTATATATTGCAAATGTGTTTAATTCGTAAATTTAACAGGGTTGGTTCATCAGGTAGGAAGGAGGGGGGGGGGGGTTGAAAATTTTACCGTGACTGTTCAGGTTTCCGGTAAAGAAACAATTATTAGTTAAAAATGCATAAGAATAATGATTACCTTGCAGATTTGAGAAAAGTGAAAACTTTCGTCTCTTCTGCAATAAAAAGAATATTCCAGAGAAGCAGGAAACAGTGTCCGGAAGTATCAAACCCGGTCCACCAGTATCCGGCTTTAAAACAGTCTCTAGATAACACAGAAATTGAATTTCTTTACAGAAACATCCACCGAACCAAATTTTATGTAAAAGAAATCAGGTTGTCATGAAAGTTATAACAGTTAGAAGTTTCAAATTTTGGATTGGTTGAAAATGGACATGACTCTAAAGGAATTAAGTTTTTGCCACAAGCTCAAATTTTCTAATCCCTCTATCTTTGCAACTTGACGATGTAAACCTTTTATATTTCAAACTCAGCTTGTTTAATCAAACAGAATTTAAAATTTGAAATATCAGAGTTCTACAACATCAAGTTGCAAAGATATAGGGATTATAAAATCAGAGTTAGTGGAAGAAACTCAATTCCTTAAAAAATCCAAGCGTGATGACTGAGGACACATTGTAGTATTTAAAAATACATTTATTGATGACCCTTTGTGTTCCAGGGGTCAGAACGTTTGTCGTCCAAAGGATTACATTAAATCTTTAATTCAAAAGTTGACATTACGGATAATGAGATTAAGCATTAGCGTTACATAACACAAAGTTTTCAACCTTTGATGGTTGAGAAAACATGTTGAAACACGTGCAAGGGAAGGTACCACGTTCAATAAGACACTAATACTTAATTAAAAGTTCTTAATTGTAACCTAATCCTCGTCCGTTACCTTTTGTTAAGAAAACTTGAGACCCTGCATACCCCCGTGCTATTCTCTATGTAAGGGAATATGATGACAACAAATAGAAACCAAACTAAATAATGATGATATTAGATAATGTAAATATTTTACAGTTTATACATTTACTGCAAGTCATTCAAAGTAAATCGTAAAGTTTTTCAAGTGACCCTCCATTAAAAATGGAACCGTTTAATCCTCAATTTTTAGACCGAAAAACTGAGGATATCCAAAAAATTTTGGTTTAGATAACTGTAAAAACGGTTCATTTATAATCTCATTTCCATTAATTATGAATTCCAGTAAATTTCGGGCGGATTAAGTGTAATTAACTAATTTCTATTATTACTATTAGAATTCTAATTTTGGCAAAACAATGCCGATTAAAGTGGAGTAAATATGAAAGCTTTTGCTATTTAAATCGAACCCGACCTTAATAATAAAGGCTGTTTAGATAAATGGCGACTTTTCATCATCTTCCTTTTTTTATAATTCTTCACTACAAAATAATTTATCAAACTTTTCTATTTAGTATTTATATATATGGCTTGTTCTGGTGTTGTTTGGATGTTTGTATTCAAATAACTTCAGAACGGGTGAGCGACGCTGGAAATTCGAATGACTCCAGAAAGGTTTATGACCAATTGAAATGGAAATTTTTTGCCAACGCTCTGAATGCCAAGTGATATAATTTTGGCTTGTTTTCTTGTTTATTGGTTTGTGTGTACACAATAACCGGATAACCGATCAGGCCCAAATTTTTGAGTCAACTCGACAACAGAAAAGGTTAGATAAAAATAATGATTCGAAAAATGTATATTTAAAACATTGGTACTAACAAAGGTGCGAGAAGCGCTCTATAAACCTAGTAAATGACAACCTTGATAAATATTAAGCATTGATTTATCTTTTTTTTTACAAAGAATACCTGCAGTTCCTGCAGCAAGATGAATGATACAACTGAATGTTAATAAACTCTGTTTAGGTTTTTGATTATAATTCACCAGAACTCTCCACACTCCAACTAGAAATAATTCGGAATTTATTTTAATTAAGGACAGAATATAAAATCTTAATTGAGGAAAAGATCAAAGTGAGAAATTTTACTCATCACTCAATTTTTTTGCTAAAATCAAATTTCTTGGTAACCAAACATTCATAGTCTAAGAGAATTTAAATTAAGTGTTCTGGCATAAATACATCCTTTTGTGTTACTTTTTTAATAATTAGGAAAAGAAAGAAACAAGTTTACTGTTGTACGAGATCATAAATATGTATAAGGAAACAGACAGTATAAATTCCGTACAGTCGTCTCTGAAGTCTCATCCTTTGCGGGCAACCCTGTAGGTTCCTTTAATGCTTGGTTTAAATTTAAGCAAATATAACAATAATAAAGTTTTTTTTACGTTGAATGCAAATTTATAAAATGAAATTGTGAATTTAGATAATAAAAAATGTTTAAAGGAGAGCTGTAATAGTTTTCTGTCAAGCTGGGATACAGAATAAAGAATTATTCTTTAAATTTGCAAATAAAGGAAACCCCTAAGCTCCACCCCTTGGTAATGCAAGTAATTGGAAATTAAACTTTTTCCAATAATTCCAATACAAAGGAGAAACTGGCAGAAGGTTTATAGAGAGAGAACATGTAGGATATGTTAGAAGTTGTAACCTTACTCAACCGACTGGTCAACATTTTAACCATCCTGCTAACTCCTTATCAAACATGAAACCTATTGAAAGCTATTATCCTTAAATCATGTAAAGTAAACTCCCAAACTTACAGGGAACCCAGGGAGACATTCTTCATTAATAAGTTCAATACACTTACCATGGATATGAATAAGAAAAGATAGTTTGAACCTTATGTATGATTTTGTTCTTTTTATGATTGTTTTCGTTTTCTTTCTTTGAATTTCGTAATTTTTCCACTCCTGATTAGTGTTTCCTATATTGTTACTTTATAATCATGACTTTTACTGTTCTGTTTAGTACATTTCTATTCTCGTCTTAATTTGTAGTCTGTTCGTTATGTTTGATAATTAAAATTCTTTTTCTTTAAATCTTTCATATTCTCAACCCCCCCCCCCGCACCCCTTCAACATCAGATTTGTCAATCAACCATTCATGTTTCGTAACTCCCCCTCCCTTCATCCCAATCCTCACCAAAGTCTAGTTTTATTTCGAAGTTCATATCAAGCTTCTCATTCTTCAGGTTGACCAGTAATTTTCTCATAAATACTATATTTTATTTTATTTGTTCTAATTGCCTATTAATTTACTTTATATTTTATTGGTCAATCCTGTCCTGTAGAACTGATGATGTTGTAAAACATCGAAATATATTTCCTACTTTGAAGTTGAGCATTTTACAGATAGAGAATACTTTTAACCAATTCCGATTTTTACAATTAGACTTTTTCTCAAGATGTGTTCGTTTGTTTCCTCTGAAGTTCAAGAGTGGAAACGTACCATATAAATCATTTTACAATGCTTTTCCATAATAAAACAAAATTAACAAAAATAAACTTAAAATTTTTTTTTAATCTACCAAGGCAACACTTTTTTAAGAGCTTTATTCTTTACATGGTTGCTTTTATTAACAAATGCAAAAAGTGAACTCCTACATAATTTATCATTAAGCCTGAATAAAAAGAAAAACCAAGCCTTTCAGATGTGGTGTGGCCGGGTGGGGGCAATTTTGGCATTTCTGTGAAAATCATGATTTTTACTTTTTCATAGCCCCTCAAGCCTTTAAATAACCAACAAACTTTAGATTCCCAATACTTGAGACAATATGAATATTGTTACCTAAGGTAAAAGTCCAGCCCCAGCCTAGCTTGACCAGGTACTGGTTTAAGAAGTTGTTCTTCTCACTAAGATACCCTCTCCCACTCTCCTTATTATCATCATTATACCCCTCATATTCAGATATCAAGCTTACCAGGTAAACTATACAGGTAAAGATAATTTTTTAGAAAAGGTTTGAACTCACCCTTGTTTTAAATAAAGACAATGAAAAATTTAGGCATAAAAAGAAAATAATAAACGTGGACAGAAATGACTTTTGCTTTTTTAGGAATGTATTGCACCAGTTTGTCAGATTTGGTCGCAGTGCCACAGATTTGGCCGCTGTACCATAGATTCGGTCGCTGTGCCAAAGATTTGACTACTATGCTAAGGATTTGGCTAGTGCCTCAGATTTGGCGGGGCCACAAGGAGATATGTGGAACTTTTGGCTGCTTTTCCGACATTTTATTTCTGTTCAGTAAGTAATTTGGACCCTCTCGGATCAGATCAGCGGTTTCGAAGTTTATCAAATCCAATCCATCGATAAAAATATAAGACATAAATAAATGTAATCAACTAACGATGTATGAGATATTAGTTTGGATAAAAAAAATCTTTTCCAATTCAATCTGGACTCAAGAAGGTGTGATTCACTTACGCTTTTAAAACATATTTTTCATTTCAAAATTCGACTTCAATTTGGTTTACTTAGAAATAATCTTTTTCCTAAGAGAGTGATAAGTAATCCTCTTTGACCAGGTCCTAAATTCTGCAAGTATACTTCAGCAACAGTTTTCAAACTACTCATTCTCTATCTGAAAGTTTTTAAATTTTTTAAGTGTAATGTTAGTTTTTGTTATTTCCAAGTAGATGACTGTTTCATTCATTTTTTTCGTTTGCTTAATCCATTTACCCCTAATTTGTATGCTTATTTTCATTTTATCATGCATTTTAAACAGTTTTTAGATGTTAAAATATAGCATTTTCTAGCTTAGCAATAGTACAATCATTGATCAGTTGTTTGCGATCCAACCCAGAGTTTTCTATTTGATCATTTGACTTTTGACATTCTTCTAGTAAAATTGCTTTAATACTATTTAAACTACAATAATGTAAAATTAAAATTAAAATCTAATATATCTCAGTAAGTATAACTCCTCCAAAGAGCTATTGAGACGATTAAAAATGTTTGAATTTCTATTGTGCAACCGGATAAATTTGATTCTCTCATACTTTGCGTAAAATCAAAACTAAAACTAAAGAAGCTACGAGATCACAACGCCATTCCAGCAAAGACGCATTAATTTTAGCTTTGAAATCTTTTTTAATATTACAGATGTATATCATAGAAATAGACAGTATTTTTTACAGATATAAATAAAACTTCAATAGGTATTTAGATTTAGGGGATGAAACAAATAATGGATAATCCGGATTTTATATTTTATTTCCATGAAATAATGGATAATCCGGATTTTATATTCTAATTTCATGAAATGACGGTTAACAAGTTAATTATCCTTTGAAACTCTTTAATACTTTCATACTGTGCAGCGCATTAGGCTTTGTTTTCAATATTATTTCACGTTTTCTGCTTTTTACTTATTTTAACATCTTATAGTTCTATTTACTGTCAATATAATATTTAATATTAATCTAAATGGCATGATAACATTTTTGTGTAATTCGTGTTTACTAAAGGGGAAGAAGGTCAAATTTATAATAATTCTCAAATAAACAAACTCTGTGAAGGTGTGTACCGTATTCTGTAAGTGCTTTTGAAGCACCCCTTTATTTATCACCTAGTATCCATGCTTTTCTGGCATACACACTGAATCCTAAGAAAATTCAGGCTGAACCACTAGATCCCATATAGACCAGGGTATAAGTGGATGAGCTCAGCCCTGTTTTAATTGTACTTTGTCTGTAGGTTGATTGTTAATAATAATAATAACAGGGGAAGAAGGTAAAATTTATAAGAAAGTACCAGCACGCTGCACCATTATTTAAAATTAAATCAATTTTGTCTTGTCAATTTTTCTTCATTATGAGGAGTTTTAATTGAAAACATAAAAGACTTCTATCTAACATGCCTTCGTAAAAACTTTAGTATGTAATGTTTTTTTTAGATTGTCATGAGATATTTGGTGAAGAGAAAGATTATTTACAATTATAAATAAGAGTTTGAACCCGAAAGTATTAAGCCCACAATCTACATTCTAAAAATATCATTTTTTAATAGTTCCAGGGTAGCCAAAACTTTTTTGAATACATCCTTACAAAAATCCGTACATTTTCAGAAGAAATCCGTACAATCCGTACAATTTTCGAAAAACAATCTGTACAATCCGTACAATTTTTTTTTTAAAAAATCCGTACAATCCGTACATTTAAAAAAAAATCTGTACAATCAGTACAATTTTCGAAAAAATCCTATTTTTGAAAAAAAACATTAAAATTCAATTTTGCATTCATTGTCTTTTGTGTTCAGTTCATGTAAGAGGGTTTAAACTTCTTCAGCAAGAATCAATCTGTAAAAAATTGGCTTCAAACATATATACAAACTAAATACTGGGTACATGATACTAGGTGCATGATACTGGATACTGGATACATGATACAGGGTACATGATACAGGATACAGGATACTGGATAC